AGACCCCCCCGCGGTGGGACGCGTGTTTACAGGATATCAGCGAACCCCCCCCCCCCCCCCCCCCCTCACCCTCAGACCCCACACACCCCCCCCCCCAAACAAATCCCAGCTTCAAAGGGAGGGTACCTAGGATTTATCTAAATATATATATATATATATATATATATATATATGTATATATATATATATATATATATATATATATATATATATATATATATATATATATATATATATATATATATATATATATATATATATATACATACTTTGAGCAATCAGTGGAAGGGCTGATCTTGTAAGGAATGTTGATGCCACATGTCGCGGGGAGTCCAGCGGCCTTGCCGAAGTTGACACCGGAAAACGAGCTGGCGAGAGATTTGAGGCAGGCGCAAACACTCTGTCGGTCGGGCGTTGTCTTGGCGGCATTGTTGAGGCTCTTAATGCCGCCGCAACAGCCGCCCAACGGGCTGTTACCAGTCACGTAGGGCAGACATGGTTGCATGTACGAAACCACCGCCCCGCATCCTATCGCCGCCTCGCCTGGCGGCACAACCGCCACCATCATCACCAACACGACGGCAATGAGGACCATGCATGTTTTATTCATCATTGAAGCCATTTGTGCTTTAATTATATTGATTGGAATACTTAATTAGGTTTATTTGTGTGTGGGGAAAAAACCTTTTGTAGGTGCAATGTTTATATAGAGAAAAACAAATTAATATATTTTTTTTATTTAATTGGGTGTAGGCATTAGTAGTTGGGAGTTAATTGTGACCGTCAGTGTAGTTGATCTATGATATATCAATTATGGGTAAATTACACCTACACCCCTAAAGTATGCTTAAATAATTTTAAGGTCCTTGTGGTAACGGTAATATTACACTTACCCTCCTGAAACATTATTAGAAACTCTAACGGGGTAATGCATTGGAAAACTTATTACATTAGAGTTCTAACGGACTGTTAATTTCAGGAAGTGGTGGAGACAACATAGAATATGAAGTAATGTGGTTGCCCCAATATTTCTTAAATCACCTCCTAACTTTATGTTGTCTACACTTTCTGAAATTAATAATTCGTTAGAACTCTAATGGAATAACTTATCGAATGCATAATTTCGTTCGAGTTTCTAACAATATTTTAGGGGGATATTTGTAATTACTAATACCACAGGGACCATAAAGTTATTTAAGCATACTTCAGGGGTCTAGGCGTAATTTACCCATCAATTATTGATGTAAAAGAAAACGTTGTGCAAAATAAGTCCTACGAGGTAATGAAATTGTGACACGTATGTACTTGTGTTTCATGAAATGATGCTGGACTAATTAATACGTGGGGTTGGTTAAGGTTGTACAATTTTCTCCAGGTAGATTCTACACCATTCCTACTTTTTCGTTTTTTTTTTTTTTTTTCATTTCGATAATTAGTTGCTACTGTTAGAGAATATTATATTATAGAACTCTTATAATATTAGAATTCTAGTATGATAGAGTTACCTAGATTAGTTAGGATTTAGTTACCTAGTCAAACTCTATGACCTTGCAATATTTCTCTATATATATTATTATTTCTCTCTTTCTCCTATTCTATTCTTCCTATAGCTACATCTGATTATTTATATTGAGTGGATTTCAATCGTATATTTACACATAATCACACACATATACATGTGTATGTGTGCTTAGTGAGTAGTTATTTAATCAAATTTACAGTTCAAACCACCAGATGTAAATAATCAGGTACATAATCTAACTCAGTATGGTTCTTATAGTATGTGTTCAACACTACAAGAAATAATCTTTAGTTAACTTCAATCTCTCACCATACCTAAATTGAGTAAATTCCTCACATCTAACTGTGAAATTCAGTGTGTACTTGTATTAACTTCGAATGATGTATGAATATGGTAAATTGTTTTTCATGGATGGATGCTATAAATTTAAGTCGGTAGGTATGATATATTCTTTTTTACGTACACAAAATAGTAATTGTTCATGTTTCAATAATTAGTAAAGTGTGTTTATTCAAAAAATAGTAAAGAGTGTTTCATGATATGATGTTGATATAAAACGAGCAAAAATTAGATAACATTTCACGAAATCTAGAATATACTGTTGAATTAGATACCATAAGAGTGAACGTGTAAGAAGAATTAGAGTGAGGGAGGTTTTAATTACCCAAACAGGAGTGGGGGTTTCGTACAGTACCTCAGGGGGTGGCCGTAATTTACCTTATGTTATTTTTATGATGAAGAATCTTTCTCCATCTATTTAGACACGACCACGGTTCGGTTTCCGCTTGCGGTTCCAAACTGCCGGTTTCGGTTCCGATTTTAGAGGAACCGGAACAGAACCGAATATTTTCGGTTCTTTACGGATCCCGGTTCGGTTCTGGTTCGGTTCCCGTTTAGAACTGGTAGAACCGGCCGGTACTTAATAAACTTTTTTTTTTTTTTATATATTTAACTTAAAAAAAATTAAAAAAAAACTCCTAAAAATAGTTAATTTAAAAAAAGAAACATACTTCAAGTTTTTTTTAAAATACTTTAAAAAAAAAAAAAATTGTTTAATTTGACCGTTTGAATTTTTTTTCTTAATTACTTAAATATTTTTCATTGGAAATATATATATATATATATATATATATATATATATATATATATATATATATATATATATATATATATATATATATATATATATATGTTTTTTTTTTAACCGGTTCGAATGCTTCTAACCGCCGGTTCTCGGTTCCGAAAATGGGGAACCGGAACCGAACTGAATTTCTCGGTTCCAGTTCCGATTTTGGTCAAACCGGTTCCGCTTCGATTAAAAAATCGTTGACCCCGGTTCGGCTTCGGTTATAACTGAACCAGTGGTCATGTCTACCTCTATTCTTCTCTGGCTTATGAGACCCTGCACCTGGTGAAATACATCACGTGGTTTCAAACCGTAGATCAATAAAAATAACTACCCACTACATACACATACACATGAATGTGTGTGTGTTATTATGTATAGATCCATAGTGTAAAACTGTAAAGCTACATAGTGTGTTCCACCGGGTGTAAATTCTACAAAACCATTCTCTTCGGACGTAAATTTGAATACAAATGCAGCCACTCGTGATGCTTTAGTTTCAATTCTTATTTGATCACTGCATCATATAGGAAGGTTGTTATTTTTGGAATCAATATAATTTTTCTTTTTTAAATAGCCTTACCTATTTGATCATTATCAATTGCTCTGCATGAACTAATTTCGGGGAGGAAAAAAAAACCTTATAAACAATCCCGTATATTAGACGAGTACATTATCGAATTCAATCATACCGTAGTTAATCACATTATCCACACGTCAAACAAGACCGTATCATCTTGAAATTAACTCTGTCGTAAAATATATATATTACAGAAGAAAATACACGACGCAACTGTAAAATACACCTTCTGGTAAACTAAATCGAAAGAACAAAAAAAAAAACAAATAAATGTGTAGTAGTTGTTAGCCAGCTAAATGGCTTGGAGAGTTGTTGAAAACAGAGTGCCACATATACGCTCGAGAAAGCACCGTCTCGAGCTCGAGATGGGTCCACTTCTGTGTCGGAAGATGCTGGAGAAACATTACCATTTCTTGAAACTCGAGCTCCTGTAGCTTATCCGACCACTACAAAATATATACCCCAATTTCAATTACGTAAGTTGTTAATGAAAAACACGATTTTATTCGAACAAACTAGAATTTAATTAAATAAATGGGTTTAAGGAAATCCTAACGGTTAGGTCTTGTTTGGCTATCACGATGGGTTAGCCAAGATAAGATAACTCCAATCTTATTAGTTATTAGTTGGACCAGAAGGTCCAACTATTTAGGCCAACCAAACGAGGCCTTAAGGTTTTCTCGTTTGGTTGCCAAGATAGGATTAGCCAAGATAAGATTAAAATAGTCTAATGAAAACAAAGTCCAGTTATTTAGTTAATCATGGCTAATCTACAAAACCAAACGAGGCCTTAATGTTCTAAAGAGGGATACGACAGAAAAAATCCCCACAAAAGATGAAATAATCAGCCAAATAATATTACAAACCTCATAAAATGTATCTA